AACTTTGCGAGGTTAAGAAACTTCTTCTTTGTGAAACCCCAAGAGAGATACTCTAAGCTGGTAAGAAAGTTTTATGAAAATATCAGTTACAAAGATAGTATTATTAAGTCTGAAGTCAAGAAACACCCCATCACTCTATCTCTCGAAGACTTTGCACGAGTTCGAACCTACCCTTCATCGAATAAGCTTATGATAAAACCGATCTTAAAGGTAATGAATTTAATTTTGACATTTATGCTCACAATCTTCTTATTGATCACTCTTTTGGAGGAAGAAGAAGAAGAATGTATTTCCGTAGAAACTGCACTCTAAATGTTTGTTACAATGTGTGTTAATTACATCTGTGATTTTTTAAACTACACAATGCTACTACTAAACTTATTACAAATGAGAAGTGAAAGAGGGATCAGAAGAGACAAGGTGTAGAGTTCACTTCAGATATTTTACGTGCATCCGTTGAGAAGATTGTAAGTAGATTCTTTTGTCAATTAAATATTAAATGTAATTTAAATCACTTTGACAATGGTATCTTATTACTATTGTGTGTAGAATTTGGTTGATATGACCATTAAAGGTTCCTCTATTCCACATGTACGGAATGATATATTAATAGAAGTAATTGGAACAAAGAAGCATGGTGGAATGTCTATAGTGTTGGACAAGGCATTGACTTGGGATTATAATTCGGAACATCAAGAAAGAGTAAAGATTTGTATAAGAAAGAGATTGGCAAGCTTGTTGATAGGAAATTAGAAGAAATTTTAGCACATGAGAAAGAATTCCAAAAGAAAGAGATGGACGAGTTATACGATAAAAAGTTTGAAGAAAAATTAGGACAAGTGTGGGAATTAAAAATAAAGAGATGGAGGGACTCTACGATAAGAAGTCAAAAGAAATACTAGCACAAGAATGGAAATTATGCAAGAAATATTTAGACGAGCTCTATGTGGTATGTACAAATTTCATTTTTTGTCTTCATTTATCTTATGGTCTTATAGCGTGACATATGTGTTGTGTCTTACATCTATTTATGGATACTTAGACCCATTTAGTATGCGAATTTCATCAAATCATCCATACGTGATTGAAGCAAACTTACTATACCCCTTTGGTAGGTGTATTATTTGTGACATTTATCTATAATTACATGTATTTTTGTGCGTATTATTACCCACTATATGAAATAAATTTGCAGATGAGGAAACAACCAAGAGGATACGAGTGTGAATATTATCTCATGAAACATCTGATAAACATAGTCTCTGTTGGAATTATTGATTCTTAGAAGTATGTAATATGTATTTATAATAACACTAGAATGAGACCCGCGCGATGCGCGAGCCCAAATGAGTTTTTTTAGATAGTATTATAAGATGTAGTTTTTGATTTTATTAATTATAATTTTTTTTGTAATTGAGATGATAAGATGAAGATGTGAAAATGAGTAAAATTTTAAATGAAAAGAGAGTGGTTGAATCATAAAAATAAAAGCAACACATCGCAATTTAATTTTAAAATGTGAAATAAATGTAAAAAATTTCAATAATTTTTTTATATTTTCTTATTTTTCCAACATCTCTAAAAATGTTTGTTCTACATTATTTCGTGAACGTAAGACGTTCCACATCCAAACGATTCACACTCTATCTAACCGTGTATGTCAACCAACACTAAAATCTTAGATGAAACTCTCAATTTTGCACTAAGTTTATAATATAAAAGGTAGTGAGTATGATTAGGGATATAAATGGATATTCATGGGGACGGATACTATGATATCCGTATCCGTTCCGTTGGATAAATATGATATTCATATTCGCGTTATGTCCATGCAGATATCCGTTAAGCAGATAATCTGCGGGTTTTACGGTATTCATGGTATTCAGATATCCATGGATAATTATATATTTTACGGTATTCATGGATATATATATATATATATATATATATATATATATATATATATATATATATATATATATATATATATATATATATATATATATATATATATATATATATATATATATATATTTTAAATATATATTTTAACTTATTTTAAAGACACAAAGTTATTATCACATAACATTTATACAACTCGCTCTTGATTTAACAATAAAAGATATCGTGATTGTGAGTTATAATGGAAGAGCGGACTACAGAGAAGTAGGAAGGGAGACACTAGTTCAACAAAGAAATGACGACACTAGTTGGTTGAACTATAAATTTGTTGAAGTGAGGTATGAAGTATTGAAGAGTTTAAATATGAAATTGCTAATATAATTTAAATGAAATGTGAAAGATTTTCTTCAAAGAAAATTTCAAAAAAAAAGAAATAAATATAAGAAGATAAAAAGATAAGGTATAATAAACTAATGATATTTAAATGATTTTTATAATTTATTAACGGATATGAATATCTGCAGACATATATATATATATATATATATATATATATATATATATATATATATATATATATATATATATATATATATATATATATATATATATATATATATATATATATATATATATATATATATATATATATATATATATATATATATATCATTAAACCCGTATTCATATCCATTTATTTTATTCATGGATATCTATTAAGGTATCCGCCCCATATCCATGACAAATTTTATCCGCGGATATGAATTTTTTTGTCAACGTCAGAAGATGGATCAGCTAGAACAAGAGAACAGGGTGCTCCGTGATGAAGTTGCAAGTATGAAAGAGAGCTTGGAGAAATTGAATGGTTTGGTGGAAGCTTTGTCCAGTCAAATCTCGATCAACAACCAAGAAGCTCCAAGGACTGTTGTATCCGAAGTGACACCAACACCGATCCCAGTGGTGTCTTCTGTTGCTGAAGTATCTTACAGTATGCCTCAAGGTTTCCCGTGGGGGATGTCTCCCTATTTTACTCCGGCCGGTTACCGTCCGCCTGTGTCTGAGACCCCTGTTGTGACCACTGTTCAAGCTACTCCTGTTGTTTCTGCTGTGATGACTACTGCATCTCCGCAGGTGAACGTTGTTCCGTATGTTCTGGAATATATATATATATATATATATATATATATATATATATATATATATATATATATATATATATATATATATATATATATATATATATATATATATATATATATATATATATAAAGAACTAAAAAGATAAAGATATAAAATGTCTATAAAATATAAGAACTAAAAAGAATTGGGTATATATGGAAAATTAAAAAAGTAATTTAAAAAAACGATAAAGGAATTCAACACGGTTGTATCAGTCATCCTTGATGAAATTTGGTGCACGGACTATTTTTAACTCATGGTTTCACTAAAAATCAAATCCATGACCTAGCAACATTTCGCCACGGTTGATAATTCTGACTGAGGTGAAATATGACGCGCTACCTAATTTTTCACTACAACCACTAATCAGTTGTTTAATATAGTTTTTTATCACACCCTTTATCACTACGAACCACCAACGATGATGAAATTCATTTTTCAACTGTATGAAAGATATTTTTATAGTAATGGCAAACTAAGAAAACTTTCGACATATATTCATAGATTGCGAGTTTTTTAGATAAATTTGGAGTAGTATCCTATAGTAGTTATGAATTCTTTGTGTTTATTTTAATGACATTAGTGCTCAAGCGTTTCAATTTTGCAGATCATATCTTTTTACAAAAGAAACAAGGCTTTCACATTTAGATGAAAATGTAATAATATTTTTTATGGAAGTGGCTAAAGGTCGAATGGAGAGCCACACTACCTAATCTAAGTATTTGGTGAAATATGGAGAGCCACACTACCCAATCTAAGTATTTGGTGAAATAATCCCATGTTAGAAATTCCGCCTTTATTGCAGTATGCTTCTAATCGCTTAATTGCGACATTTGACTTATCTTCATTGTAGCCTCCAACATCGTCATTGTGTTAGATTTAAAGGAAAAAGATTTAGTCCCACATTATTTTGAAATATAGTATGCGTAGTCTTTATAAAGTTTAGGCAATTCCCTCCTTACAAATCAGTTTTGTAGGTATAAATTATGCCAAATTCAAATTCTAAGATAATATTAGACTCTATCCAAGATCTGTTGTTGAATTTCCCACTTCAATGCTTTTGGTTCATTGTAGATTGAGCATGAAGGGATGTGTTACAAATTCTGCCTTCATTCTGGCATGTCCCTTGTTACTAAGTGTGACATTTGGTTTGCCTCATTGCAACCTCCAACAAATTCATTGTGTTGGGTTTGAAGAAGATTGATTTACTCTCACATTTCTCAGAGATATTTTTATTAAGTTTAGATAACCTACACTTTACAATTTGATTTTGTAAAAATGAATTAGGTACCATCTTAATTTTTTTTTTTTTTACAGATTTCAAGTAGTGTCATTCACTGCCAAGAATATTTTTTATGATCTTTATTGCAGCTTCAAACACGTTTATTGTGTTTGGTTTAAAAAGATGGCTTTAATTTTAAATTATTTAGAGATATGAGACATGCAGTGTTTATAAAGTTTGAACAATCCCTCGGTTTTGTAAAAATAACTAAACTCTTATTTTTGACATATATAGAGTAGTGTCATACGGCTAAAAGTTGAATTGAGGGACACATGTTTGTTTTCTCGTCCCACTCAATATGTTATGTGCAAATTATGCTACGAACTTCGGTCACAAAAGCCAAAATATACATATATTTAGGGGCAAAACTAAAACAAATTTAAGCCTTTGTTTAAACAATATATAACTCTAACCTTTTAATGATAACTTGAATTTATTATAAAACGAAAAATTAGTACAAGGTTGCTCAACATATTACACAAAACAAAAGAACAAGACATGGCCCACAAAATAAAAGTACAGAGAAAACAATAAAACACAGAAAAACAACATAATATAGTCCAATTATTCTAAAGTTATTCAATCACACCAACAAGAGCAACTACCTAACAATCATCAAATGCAAAATGAAGTAACTTCATCCAAAAGCAGCAGATGCAGGAGGTGGAGGGTTAACAAGAAATATGTCAAGAAGTTGATCAATGGATGTGTAGTTATGTTCAGGATATAGTTGTGAAGCTTCAAGATCATCTTCTCTTAGTTCAAACACATGGTCCCCTCTAACATATGCACTATGAATTATTGATATTGGTATATCTTGTGGAGGAGGTAAAGCTGCACATCACAAGTAATAATTTTCAAAATGACGTTGTCGTCTAACTTAATAATATTGATTTTTTTCCTTCAATAATATGGATTAAAAACTTACTTTGTGATAACTTAACAATCTCTTTCTCGGAAATAATAATTTTTGAAAATTTCTGATTAGTCTTCTCCTCCCATAAAGATATCAATTCATTTTGTGATATGATATTTTTCGAAGGTCGATAAGTAACAATGCGATTGTATGTTCTTGGATCATTTGCAACTTTAATAGTGTAGATACCAATATCTTCTTCATAGTTTAGTACTCCTAATGAATGAATGTAAGAGAGATTGTTAATATATATTGCTAATTCATAAGTTAATATTTTTTTTATATGACTAGTTAATTTAGGGTATTCATACCTTTGATTTCACCATTGCCATATACAACAATTTCATTCTTTTTCTCATAGGGACGAAGCAAGAAATTAACAAAATATGCACCACAAAAGCTTGCAGAAATATAAGTATAAGGAATATTAGCTGCTTCAATTTCTCTTCTAATTTTTCTTTTCTTATCAAGAAAAGCTTGAAAAGGAGGTAGAGGATTTACTCTATCCTCTTCTACGCCAAACTCCGATGGAAGGAATCTCTAAAAAAAAAAAAATTCCAAAATAACGAATTCATTATAAAATAATTTTTTAATATTAAACCTTCAAAAACTTAAGACAATTCTAAAAAAAATGCAATACCTTGATATTACCAGCAACTTTGATAGCATCAATAATTCTAAGTTGCTCCAAAACTTGAGGGTATCCAAATGTACATATAACAATGTCAACTTGTTTTATCACTTCTACAAGATGCTTATGCTCAAGATTTCCCTGAAGTTATTATTATTCAATACTCCTAAAAAAAATAATGGTTTGAATGCGACTGAAATATGGAGAAAACATACCTCGACTAATGTTACTCCTATAGATTTGAATTCCTGGCAAAGTTGTTTCTTAGAGGGAGAAGTTTGTGAGGTTATAGGTCGAGTGTATACAAAAGTAGGATAACCTAAAGAGATGCTTGATTTCACCACATACTTTCCTATGTAACCTGTTCCACCAAAAACAATAATCCTATTATTCTTATTACCCTCCATTCTTTTTTTGCTAAATTTTATATATCTTGGTGCTTTTATGAAAATAATAATGTGATAGATGTAATACTCAGAGAGATAGATAAAATATGATGTTGAATGAATGTTGAGGAATGTCATATAAATAGTTGTAATATCACATGAACATCTACTAGTCAACATTATTTTTATTTCTGATTTGCTTTCATCTTGTACCTGCTTTTTATTTTTAATTAATATCTTAATTCTTTTTTTTTAATCATGCATGACTTCTTCAAGTTTTTCTAGTTTGGTGAAGAAGTATTAACCTTAGAAAAGTTTAAAGAAAAAAAGACTAACCAAGGGAATAATAATTAATACTGTCATTCAACCATTCAAATATCTGACTATATAGAAGACATTATCATGATATATAAAATAAAATACACAAACAGACCATGTTTAATGGTGAGAGAAAAATTAATTTAAGCCTTCTTTGGGATGGATTTTAATTTTTCAAAAACTAAAACTGGTTTCAAAATTTTGTTTTGAGGATAAGATTTTTGTGATTTTGAATTTTTAAAAATTGTTACCTATCTCTTTAGGCAAAGTGTGACTGCTGTGCTGGGAGTAGTGGTCCTTTGTTCCAAACATAATGATAATGTGAAAGAAGTCATCACTGCTCATATGTTTGTTACGAGAATGTCAGTCATGTGAATTCACTTTCTGCATTACCATTGATAACTTCTGAATAAATTTTGTTTGTTTTTGAATTTTTTGAACAAACTATTTAATTTGTGTATTTATATACTGTGAGATATTTAATCGAACTCTAGTGCTGTTGACGTAGAAGTTGACAAACATGAAGTCGAAGTTAGTTCACATGCTGATGTCGAAGTGTTACATATTGTAGTTAAAGTTAATTTTAGTATGTAATGTCAAATTGGGCCTTGTGTATGGATCCAATTGTTTAGGTTATCTTGTTGTTTAAGTTAGCTTAACAGCCTATAAATAGGCTAGCTCTCTCAAGTTGTTGAGAGATGTCAATTGTGTTATTCACTTGTAATCATTTGTATACTAATTAAGTTAGTAAATAGAAAACAGTTTGCCCAAAATACTATTTTCCTTCTTTCTTATTTATTATTTCTTCTCCCTCTCTTTGTTCTAACCGTTTCATTGTTCACCCAAAAAAAATTGTTTCTAATTTGTTAATTGATATAGTTTGTTACAGCAAATTAGTGCAGTGAGAGTGAAGAAAGATGTCGTTAACAAAGTTTAAAATTGAGAAGTTCACCGGAGTTAATGATTTCGGTTTATGGCGCTTGAAGATGCAAGTTTTTCTTGTTCAACAGGGTTTACTAAAAGCGTTAAAGGGAGAAGAAGTCGTAGATGTTGTAGTGACGGAGAAGGATAAGACAAGGATGATCGAGAAAGCCCACAATGCTATTGTTTTGAGTCTTGGTGATAAGGTTCTCAGGCAGGTTTTGAAGGAGACGACGACAACTAGTGTTTGGCTGAAACTCGAATAGTTGTATATGACAAACTCCTTGGTGAATCGTTTGTACTTGAAGCAAACTTTGTATTCATTCAAGATGAATGAAGACAAAACGTTGACGGAGCAGCTGAATACGTTCAGCAAGTTGATTCTTAAACTTAAAAATATTGATGTTACCATCAGTGACAAAGATCAAATGTTGTTATTGTTGTGCTCCTTACCTAAGTCTCATGCTCACTTCAAAGAAACCCTCTTGTGTGGAAAAGAGTCTCAGACCTTTGAAGAAGTTCAAGCAGCCTTTTATTAAGGATTTGAACGAAAGAAAGGAGCAGAAACCATCATTAGTTGGCGAAGAATTATCCGTTAAAGGGAAATTCTCGAAAAGAGATGGTAGGTTCGAGAAGAAGAAAGGAAAAACTCAGCAGAAACAAGGCTTGTATACCCTTGAGCATGAGGTTGTAAGTGGTTCGGAAGATTTTGCATCCACGAAACCGGTGTCAAAGGCAGTATTATGGCATATGAGATTGGGCCATGTCAGCAAAAAAGGCCTGATCGAACTAGGGAAACAAAACATGGTAGGTGGTGACAGAGTCAAGAAGTTGGTGTTTTGTGAACCTTGTGTATTTGGAAAATCCTGCAAAGTGAAGTTTAGGAACGGTAAACAAAGAATACATGAATCTCTTGATTACATTCATGATGATCTTTGGGGGCCTGCAAGGAATCCGTCAGCATGAATAAATCTTTGAGAAATGGAGTTTCTTGATGAATAATGAAACGATTAGGTTAACAAAGAGAGAGAAGAAAGAAGGAGAAAAGGATTGAACACATTGTTTTTCTATTCACTTATTCAATTAGGGCACAAATGATTACAAGTGAATAATAACAATTGGCCTCTCTCAATAACTTGAGAGAACTAGCCTATTTATAGGCTACTAAGCTAACTTAAACGATAAGCTAACCTAAATAATTGGATCTAAAAAACAAGGCCCAATTCGACACTACATATTAGAACTAACTTCGACTACAACATGTAACACTTCGACGTTAGCATGTAAATCAGCTTTGACTTCATGTTTGTCTCCTGCCGAAACATGAAAACTTTCCCTGCTGGCAACATCCTAGTCAAGATAGCGTTCAACAAAACTGGTGATGCTGGTCGAAGTGCAGAAATCTCTGAAGAGGATTTGGAACAGGTAGAGATTCTTGTTGATGTGGATCATAGTGATGCTGAAGTGCATAACCTAAATAAAGTCGAAGAAGAAGAGCAAGATGTTGAAGAGACTGAGGAAACTTTCGATAACTACCTACTGGCAAGAGATGGGTCAAGATGAGTCATCAAGCCACCCCAGAGACTTGGTTATGCAGATCTTATAGCTTTTTCCTTAATCTCTACAAGTGAGGTACTTAAGGAAGAACCTAGAGACTACAAGGAAGCTATGAGGAGTCGAAATAAGACTGAATAGCGAAAAGCCATGGATGATGAGATGAAATCTCTTCATGATAATACCCTTGGGAGTTGATTGAGAAACCTACAAGAGCCGTGTTAGTCAGTTGTAAGTGTATTTTCAAGGTCAATGAAGGAATCGAAGAAGTGATGTCGAAGCGCTTTAAGGCAAGGTTGGTTGCTAGGGAGTTCAGTCAGAAAGAAGGCGTTGCCTTCAATGATGTGTTCTCACCTGTTGTAAAGCATAAATCCATTACAATGTTGTTAGCCATGGTGGCGAGTTTCAACCTGGAACTTGAACAAATGGATGTGAAGATAGCCTTCCTGTATGGTGATCTAGATGAAACGATCCTGATACAGAAACCTGAAGGGTATGCAGAAAAGAATAAGGAAGATTATGTGTGCAAGCTGAATAGGTCTTTGTATGGCCTAGAACAATCTCCTCGACAGTGGAACAGGAGATTCGACAAGTTCATGGCACACATTGGTTTCACTATGAGCTAGTTCGATCATTGTGCTTACTTCAGATTTTGACCTGGAAAATCACATGTTACTTTGTTGCTTTATATGGATGATATCCTCATAGCTAGCAACAGTGTCGAGGATGTAATGAAGGTGAAGGTTGAACTCAGTTAGGAGTTTGAAATAGACAATCTGGGAGCTGCCACCAGGATTCTTGGGATTGACATCAGAGAGATAGAAAGCAGTCAAAATTATGTTTATCTCAAGAGACATACCTACAGAAGATTCTCGACAAGTTTGGTATGTTGAATTCAAAGCCTGTTGTGACTCCGAAAAATCCTCAGTTTAAGCTTAGTACTACTCAAAGTCTGTGTACTGAAGCTGAAAGAATCTATATGAGTAGTATTCCATATGCTAATATAGTAGGTTCTTTGATGTATGTTATGGTCTGTACGAGGCCAGACATAACGTATGAAGTGAGCCTTGTAAGCAAGTATATGGCCAATCTTAGAAATGCGCACTAGAAAGATTTTAAGTGGATTATTAGGTACATAAATTGGTCTCTTAGAAGAGTCTTGATTTTTGATGGAGCTTATGGTGATGATAGCAAAGTCGAAATTGAAGGATATGTCAAATCTGATTATGCAGGTTGTATGGATTCCAGAAAATCTATTTTTGGATATACGTTCAATATGTTCGGCACAACAATCTGTTGGAAAGAAACACTTCATAAAATTGTTGTATTATCAGCCACAAAAGCTGAATATATTTCCCTCACTGAAGTTGTGAAATAAGCATTTTGGCTTGAAGGTTTTGTAATGGAGCTGAAACTTCAAGGTCGAGTTATCATTGTTAAATTTGATAGTCAAAGTGCAATACACCTATCAAAGAATTCATCCTATCATGAGTGAAAGAAGCACATCGATGTAAGATTGTACTTCATCAAAGAGATAATCGAGCATGGAGAAGTCTAAGTGCTAAAGGTTTTGACTGATGACAATGTTGCTGATATGATCACCAAGATATGGCCGAGTAGCATGTTTTTCCATTGTATGCAGTTGATAAAGATGCAGGATGAAAGCTAGTTTATTCCCTGTTATTGTAGAGTTTGTTCCAAGGTGGATATTTGTGAGATATTGGGTCTAACTCTCGTGTTGTCAACGAGGATGTTGTCAGCAGGGATAACTTTTAGGTTTTGATAGGAGACAAGCATGAAGTCGCAGCTGGTTCACATGCTGATGTTGAAGTATTACATGTTATAGCTGAAGTTAGTTCTAGTATGTAATGTCGAAATGTAATGTTGAATTGGGATTTTTATTATGGATCTAATTGCTTAGGTTAGCTTGTTGTTTATGTTAGCTTAGTAGCCTTTAAATAGGCTAGTTCTCTCAAGTTGTTGAGAAAGGCCAATTGTGTTATTCACTTGTAATCATTTTTACACTAATTGAATAAGTGAATAGAAAACAGTTTGCCCAAAATGTTGTTCTCCTTCTTTCTTCTTCTCTCTCTCTCTCTCTCTCTCTCTCTCTCTCTCTCTCTCTCTCTCTCTCTCTCTCTCTCTCTCTCTCTCTCTCTCTCTCTCTCTCTCTCTCTCTCTCTCTCTCTCTCTCTCTCTCTCTCTCTCTCTCTCTCTCTCTCTGTTCT